GCCATGGCCCTCCAGGTAAGTGACAGCAGCCACTGTGTGAAAGCCTGTGTCCCCATCCCTCACCATGGCTGCAGAGCTGGCCACAGAGTTGTGCTCCGGCTGCATGCCAGCCTCCCTCTCCCCCTCCTTCTGGGCAGGCGGCCAGGCGGCATGTGTGCAGCCTGCACATGACGGGCACCAACACACTGCACTCTGCATCGCTTGCCCGCAAAGCCCTCTGGAGAGGGGCACCCCTGCTCTCACCCCCTGGTCCTTCTTCCAGCTGCTGTGTGCCGCCTGGGGCTGGCAGCACCTCCTGCTCCCTCAGCCCCCAACCATCTTCCCCAGCCCTGCCCCACAGCCCCACTTACCTCCATGTTCCATGGGCGAAAGGCTAGTGTGAGCATGAGTCTGGCCTTGGCTGCCTCAGAGGCTCAGGCCCCACCCTTTCCCCTCTCTCCCCCCCTCTGGCCAGGGCTGGGTGTTTCCCACCCTTTCTGCAATCTGCTCTTGCAGGCTGCAGCTGTGCCAGCCTGCTAGCGCTCTTTGCAAAAGCAGAGAATCTGAGGATTTCTCTGCTAAAAAAGGGAAATCCGTGTTTTCTCCAATAAAAACAGGGAATCTGTGGTTGTCTCCATTTTTCCATGGGAAACAGAAAACCTGGATCCCTGGTCATCACTGAGTCTAGCTCCATTTCCTTTGGAACAACCCTTTATGTAGTTGAAAGCTGCTATCAAATCCCCTCTCCAGTCTTCTCTTCTCTAAACTAAGGAAACCCAGCTCCCTCAGACTCTCATAAGTCATGTGCTCCAGCCCCCAAACCATTTTTGTTGCCCTCTGCTGGACTCTCTCCAACTTATCCACATCTTTTCTATAGTGGAGGGCAATATAGTTCCTGTAATACTAGCAGCAATGTTCACAGTACCCAGTTTTATTCTTGGAGCCAGTGTTGAAGTTAAAGGCTTGGAAAGTACAAAGACAATGAGTCACATTCTCCACAGTGCTAGTTTCTGCTTGGCATAGTCGGGTGGGGAAGGAGGAGGATGTTGGGGGCATTTTTATTTTGGTAGCTGAAGAAATGTAGAGGCACTGAACAATGGCTTCTGCCCTCTGCTCATTTCCCTAAAAATCTGGGTGTTAAGTGAACTTTGCTTGTACTTTAAAGATTCTCATTAGATGATAAATGTTTCACTGGTAAATACATATTATTATTTGTTTTTTCTCTTAACTGATATCCTCTAGTGATTCAATTTTGTGGCACCATGCACAATGACTTCTTTTCAATCTCTTATCTTTATAACAATACACTAAAAACAATGGTTCTTTGATTGTTGTCAATGTGGTTGGTTTTCTGACCAACATATTTTTAGTACAAGGCATTGATAAATAAAACCATATCAACTTCACTCCAGACAGGATATGCAATGAACAAAGTTTGCCATATGGAAATTTCAACATTGGCTGGGGCAACAAAATACTGTTTCTTCTATTAAGAAAATATTAGAATTGAAGAACAACTTAAAATGCACAACTGTCATTGTGTAATAGCTGAACATCCCTGATACTAGATGTAAATAGATGTTGTATACTGCCCTGTGTACCTTTTATGTTATTCTAAACCACATTGTTCTAACGGCATGTCTGTCTTTTAATGGAACAACATCAGATTCAATTGGAAGGGTTTAAAGATAATTGGTGCTCTGAGAGATTTGGAACAGTAAGTGATTATCTTTACCATGATGGTTCTAGGATTAATAAGGTACATATGTAATTTATAGGAGGGATGTGGGAGAAATATATTATTGCTTTGCTTTTTGTGCATTTGTCAGATGCTTAACATTTTTTAATGAGATGTATTTAATTCCAGGTTTTAGATCAGTAGTCGACCACTGAGAACATAGAGGGGCACCCTGGGATGCCTCAAGATTCCTTAAAGGGTGCATCTGTGTGCCACACAATGTTAGTACTGTTAGGTGTGCAAACATGATTGACACAATAAACCCAAAGATTTCAAATAGGAACCTGTAGTGTTAAAAATATTCTGACCTGTTGCAGTCTTTCTGATTTCTTTGCAACAGAAAAACTGCTCTTGTTTTTCCATAGTCAGGAATGGGGGAAAAATAAGAGCTGGCATTTTCCAAGGTTGCCTCAAGTCTAAAAAGGTTGAGAACCACTGACACAGAGATTCAGTTTCAAACAGCTTCCTTATTGTAGTGATATCATCAGTTACCAAAGGAGTTAAGTAACACTGCAATACAGTATGGCTTTCTTTCATGAGTTTGCCTGTGATTACTGTATTTCTTTACAGCAAAGTTGTGTGGTGCCAACTATTATCTCAGGTACTTGGCTAGTTGGCTGACTACTGAAAAGAAGATGAGAAAACTGTACCTTCAGGCTTAGTTCTCTAGAATGTTGTCTCTTAGTAAGCAGTGTCCTGTAAGTCCTCTTTTTGTGTTCTCTGGATAAGGTATAAAAACAAGGTCCTACTATAGGGACTCTGAGTTCTGACTTGGTCATGAAGTTACGTGAGCAATCGGAGATAACCAAAGAGCCGCCACAGTCCCTTGGTGTATTGTAGTAAACACTTCAATTCAAAAGGAAAAACAATGGCATGTAGTTGCATGTGTTGTGTTGTTTGTGACTGTAGGAAAGTAATACCTAATACACGCAGGAACTTTGATAACGCTATCTGTGAAGAGCTGCAGATGATAATTTGAAGAGGCACTTGTGG